TCAGTCCCCCGCTAATCTCAGTCTCTGTACTCCCCTGTAGCTGAAGTCCTACCCAATCCGGGCAGAGAAAGGAGGTCAGCCAATAGCGCTGACTCTGTGTGATGTAAGGGACATGGGAGACAGTGAGGAGACCGGACTGAGCCTGCATGATGCCCTGGCCGTTATCAATGGACACGCACCAGAAGGATATAAGGTGTGTCAGCCATTTTGGTACATACAACATAGTGCTGAGTAGTATGACAAAAAATTTGTACCACAGTATTTTTTAACGTTCTGGCGGCGTCATGGTGTGTTACACAATTTTTTTCCCCCCAAATTCACCCTTATTGTGACAGCAGGCATTTTATACACTGCTCAAAAAAATTAAAGGAACACTTTTTAATCAGAGTATAGCATCAAGTCAATTAAACTTCTGGGATATTGACGTGGTCAGTTAAGTAGCAGAGGGGGTTGTTAATCAGTTTCAGCTGCTTTGGTGTTAATGAAATTAATAACAGTTGCACTAGAGGGGCAACAATGAGACGACCCCCAAAACAGGAATGGTTTAACAGGTGGAGGCCACTGACATTTTTCCCTCCTCATCTTTTCTGACTGTTTTTTCACTAGTTTTGCATTTGGCTACAGTCAGTGTCACTACTTGTAGCATGAGGTGATACCTGGACCCTACAGAGGTTGCACAGGTAGTCCAACTCCTCCAGGATGGTGCATCAATACGTGTCATTGCCAGAAGGTTTGCTGTGTCTCCCAGCACAGTCTCAAGGGCATGGAGGAGATTCCAGGAGATAGGCAGTTACTCTAGGAGAGATGGACAGGGCCGTAGAAGGTTCTTAACCCATAAGTAGGACCAGTATCTGCTTCTTTGTGCAAGGAGGAACAGGAGGAGCACTGCCAGAGCCCTACAGAATGACCTCCAGCAGGCCACTGGTGTGCATGTCTCTGACCAAACAATCAGAAACAGACTTCATGAGGGTGGCCTGAGGGCCCGACATCCTCTAGTGGGCACTGTGCTCACTGCCCAGGACCGTGGAGCTCGATGGGCATTTGCCATAGAATACCAGAATTCCAGGTCCACCACTGGCGCCCTGTGCTTTTCACAGATGAGAGCAGGTTCACCCTGAGCACATGTGACAGATGTGAAAGGGTCTGGAGAGGCTGCGGAGAACATTATGCTGCCTGTAACATTGTTCAGCATGACCGGATTGGTGGGGGGTCAGTGATGGTCTGGGGAGGCATATCCATGGAGGGACACACAGACCCCTACAGGCTAGACAACGACGCCTTGACTGCCATTAGGTATCAGGATGAAATCCTTGGACCCATTGTCAGACCGTATGCTGGTGCAGTGGGTCCTGGGTTCCTCCTGGTGCACGACAATGCCCGGCCTCATGTGGCGAGAGTATGCAGGCAGTTATTGGAGGATGAAGGAATTAATACCATTGACTGGCCCCCACACTCACTTGACCTAAATCCAATGGAACACCTCTAGGACATTAAGTTTCGGTCCATCCGACTCCACCAGGTTGTACCTCAGACCGTCCAGGAGCTCAGAGATGCCCTGGTCTAGATCTGGGAAAAGACTCCCCAGCAGACCATCCGGCGTCTCATTAGGAGGATGCCCCGACGTGGTCAGGAATGCATACAAGCATGTGGGGGCCATACAAACTACTGAGTATGATTTTGAGTTGCTGCAATGAAATTTCGGCAAAATGGACTAGCCTGCCACATAATTTTTTCACTTTGATTTTCGGGGTCTCTTTGAATTCAGCCCTTTGTAGGTTGATAATTTTCATTTCCATCAAACAATGTGGCATCCTTTCATTCCTAACACATTACCCAGTCCATATCAGTATAGATATCCAGCATGATTTTTTTCCCCATTGAGATCTGATGTGTTTTCAAAGTGTTCCTTTAAAAATTTGAGCAGTGTATAAAATAAATATGTTTTTGAATGTTTTTAAAAATGTCTGTTTTTATTAATTATTATTATAAAATGTTTACATTTAGCTTGATAGTATAACCAACATGTTTTATTAGATGTATAATGTATATTCAGGATGATAGCAACATATTTTATTATTATAACCTTGTACTTAGCTTGATAAGAATTGTTTCCCTGGAATCTCTTATTAGATTAATAATGGATATTTAGCTAGACAGTGACATATTTTATTGATTTTTATATTTAACTTGATAGCAACATATTTGCTTAACCGGTAATGATAAATCAATAATATTTGGGATTTTGTTTTACTGATTTGCATTTGATTGCAGACATACTTATTTGTCTATTACACAAAACCCAAAATTTCAGACACAGACTTCAACAGTAGTTGGAAATACTATAATGTAGAACAGTTTTGTATCTGGAGAATTGTTGTATTATAATGTTATAACTATTAATGAGCAGGTTATGCACAGTTAACAGGGTCCCCTCTCAATACACTCTGCACAGTGATCCATAATGCTTCTAGCAGCGAACAATATTGTATAATTTTGCTTCCTAAGGAAGCGTTACAGCTGTTGTTTCAGCTATGCCACGGTGTGGGAATATATGAAAATTTCATACCATATGGGAAATTAAAACCAGTATACCAGTAATACAACATTAATTACACAAAGATGCATTGTGGGGGAACTCGGATTCCGAGTTTTGAAGCCAGAAGTGACGACATGCGCGCTCCCGTTTCTCGGAGATCCGAGAAATATCTCGGATAACGCAGAAGATCCCGAGTTCAGAATCCAAGATGGCTGCGTCCTTTATCAACAGAAGGGAAAGTTGTAGTTTTATCCTGTTTAAGCACTACTTCTCATTTGTGGCTCATTAAATCGGTCGCACACACTATACCGTCCAACTTATCTGTGGACGTGTTGCTACGGAGTTTAAACGTCAAGCACCGCGCGTAATGTGTTATCAAGTGATATTGCTAACAATGGCTACCAATTCACCAGGTTTGAATTGGATTTCATGATTAGTCGGATTATTTGTCGGATTAACGTAGTTCGGGCTAATTGTAAGTGGACGAAGATAAAGGCCATTTAAACTGAGGTACCTTAAATCCGACAAGTTGTCCGGCTAAGAAAAAAATCTTGCTTTTTCATATGGATCCATGGTATTGCTACTTCTGTGGCAAATGGAACGCATCCGACTCGGTTTTCCCAAATTTTTAGCGGATGTGATGTAATCTCGGAATTCGAAAATCGGATCCCGAGGCAAATGGAATGCAGCATACTACCATATACTAACCAGATATATGTTATCGCTCGTCTATATAAAGCTTATTCTCATATGTATCATAAGGTAATGACAAACCTGCGAATCCAGCATTTGTTTTTCTGACATCCCGGCACACACCTCCTCTTTACCCCGACCTGCAGATTGCAGAACTGTCGTAAACGTGGAAATGAGTTGCGTTGTGAATCTGCGGTCAATTACTTTTTCTTAAGGACCCGGATGTGTGTCACACTAGATTGAAATTGAATTCGCGAACTGAATTTTTCGAGGTAGGATAAATGCTATTTCGAGTTACTGGAATTCAGATTCAAACTATTAAATTCAGATTCAGTTTTGTAATGCGGATAACTGCAGATTCAAATATACAAAATTCATATTCAGTTTCTAGTGTCACAAATATCAGCCCATACATATACTCCAGTTGATTCTGGGTTTGGCTAACCCTGCTTTCTCGAAAAAAATATGTAACTTTGGATAGTGAATGTTGTCTGGTAAATGTTGTTATAGAATACTTTATGCATCCCCATGGGAAAATTTACACCTGTCTCATCTTGCTTTCCATAAGACACAAAGACACATATACAGGAGAGAGCAAGTTTGGAGGTCAGAGCACAGGGTCAGCCGGGATCCAGAACTAGCCGGGATCCAGAACTACTGATGCAATTGGGGTTAAGGGTCTTGCTCAAGGGCTCAACGGTAGCATCACTCTCCTGGCCACAAAAATTGAACTGGAGATTTTTCTTTCCCTCCCCAGTTTCAGAGTGGAATGCCCATTAATCCCAGTAGTGCCGGTTACTGCCTGGATCCCGGACTGCAGGACAAGATCCACTGTGTTGTGTTTGTCCTGAATGCACGTAGTCTTCACTCCTATGGGGAAAGCCTGGTAAAGATGATAAAGAAATATCGCAGAGAGATCTCTGACTTGGGTGAGCTGTTTCATTATTTTGTAATTTTGTGCTCATTAAAGTGGTCAACAAACACAACATTTGAAATGGTGCTTTGGCAAATGTGACACAACCAGATATGTGTAGAAATTCACTGCATGATCTTGGGAGGTTTTTGTGGAGATTATCTGACAGTAACTAGCTGCAGACGTGACAATGTTGTTTTCACCTTCCCATCTCTAGATGTTCCCCAGCTGGTTCTGCTGACCCATGTAGATGAGATGTGCCATGCAGTAAATACGGACGTGCGCTACGTCTACACCAGCCGCATTGTGCAAAAGAAGGTATGACCGTGACCAACAGAGGTCACAAGATTCCACAGTCTGTCACTTTCTTTGCTGCTTTATAGTGTTTCGTGACCATCTTCATTTTCATTTCATCATAAGTGACAACTGTTAAATAATGAAGATGACATATTTAATAACTTTGAAGTTTTTACTTAAAGCACCCTTGTATAAAGCACTATAGCTGCCTTCAGAATGCAGTACAAAGCACCCTTAATTTTTATACTGACCATTATAATGCATTATGAAGGAAGGTATCTACAGTGCATTATAGATGAGAGCTTCATATAGCATTTATAATGCATAATAAACATGGCTATAATGTGTTATTCATTTTTATAAATTGTTAGCCATGTTTATAATACCTTCATAATGCATTCATAAAGTATCAATAAACAGGGGTGCACATAGCTGGACCGGAAGTACGCATTCACCTTTAAGAATGATACACGCAACAATCGATTGTAAAAGCGCAAATGCGTACTTATTTTATGTGCATTTGCGCTGCTATGAAAACAAAATATAATGTATTTTAATGTTTATATGCTAACTCGACTTCATTTGCGGCATATGGGTAAAAATGCAAGGTATTTTCTTGTCATAGCAGCGCAATTTTACCTTCACATGGTGACATTTTTGCATTTACTGCAGGTACAAGAGGCAGCCAGTTTGGCAGATGTGCCGGTCTCCTTTGTGCTACCAGTGAAGAACTACATGAGCGAGCTGACAGTGAACCGGGACACCGATATCCTCATCTTTAGTGCAGTCCGGCAAATACTACATGCTATCGATGACACGTTTGAGGCCTAGTCAACCTTCTTGGAGACTTCAGCATCTGTGATAATGTTATTTTCTATGTACCACTAAGCCAACTTATATTCTCTTATTCCCCTCCTACCAAATATGTTCAGTTTAACTGAAATATAAAGAGTGCACCAAAATATTTGTGTACTGTACAGACGCTACCCATTGTTGTGTTGCATGCTCTATGAAAATGAGTGTACTATAAGTCTTTGAGTGCTATGCTGTTCTAAATGTAGTGTATTTTTATGAACCTTTCCAGGTCCATAAAAAAACTATTCAAATGTTTACGACATAAGAATACACATCACATCAAATCATAACCTGACACTATATATGTGAAAGGCTGTTTAGGGTCCAAAGAATACCAACTGGAAGAACATCAATAGAGAATTTCCCTACGGGGATTAATAAAGTATGATGAGGATGGTGATGATTATTATTATTTTATTAAACCATTTAGTAGGGGTGTAACGATATTACAAACCGAACCGAAATATCGTGATACACCAACCACGATACGTATCGCGAAACTCGTGGCGTACCGCGGTACTCTAACGCCCCCTGCTGCCCATTGTTGAGGTTGACGTCACTTGTCTCTAACTAATTTAACCAATTTAAACACATCTTTATTTTATCACATTTGATTAAATTGTATTAGTAATGATGAGCTTTTGTTCTAAATTTTGTTCTAAATATTATATTCTAAAGTTAGTATTAGAATTGCTTTTTTCTGACTAGTCTATATTGGAGGTATTTATTTAATTTTTGTTGTTTACCCAGGTATCCTGACTGTACTAAAAATGTGATGGCAAAGTTAATAAAGAAAAAGTTTAGTTGTTCTTGTTATTAAGTGAATCTATTGTTCCTTAGCATTGCTGTTAAGATGACATCAACCCTAACCCACAGCAAACAGAAACCGAACCGAACTGAACCGAGGCTCCAAAACCGTGAACCGAACCGAATCGTGCCTTTGGTGTATCGTTACACCCCTACCATTTAGTTGAGTATGGTGGGCTCAAAGCTTCATACAGGGTGTCAGATTTTTGGAAACTGTAATGCTTGCATATGTATGATTAACGGTGTATAACATGTTGCGACTGTTACAGGTACAATTGAAATTTAAGAACTAGGCTCACATGGATATGTTCTATATTTTGTATTCATGCGAATTCTAACGCAGGGTTTTATAAGGGTGCTGACTCATTACAGGGCACACACACACCATCCCATGACCCTGAATTGGACAAACGACCATGGATGATCGATGGATGTAGGAATGACGTGTAAATGCCTTGCATACACCTTCAGAACACTAGAGAGCCTGCCATTTTGTTAAATTTGCACCAGCCATCTGTATACTCAGGAAGTGAAACATATGGTTCTGGGACCAGTCTGCCACAGACATTTTTTTCCTTAAGATAACTCAAAAAATATTTGACAGATCTTTTTCATACTTTGCAGAGGCATTGTATGGGAGATAACCTGCAGCTTTTCAAATTTGGAGACAAACTGCCCCAAAATTGTAGCAGTACTGCTTAGTGGCAGCAAAGGGAAGGGTGACTGCAGATGAAATTTGACCTTGTGAGTGTGATCAGTTAAAAAGAGTTTGATGGATCTTATTACTATTTCGCAAAAAATATTGTGTGGATGAAGATCTACACCTGATTTCATTTTGAGACAAAATACCCCCAAACTGCACAAGACACTTGACCTTGTGAACAGGATAACTCAATTTGGGCTATTACTCTGTTTACTCTATTTCACTATTTGGCAAACCTTACTAGGTTGCATAATGTAACTACACGGCTATTCATAATTTATTATATTGATGACCTGGTGAAAAGGGATCCCCTCATTAGATTTCACCAACCTTAGGGGTCCCCATTGCTTACATTTGAGAAGGTAACTCAAAGAGTATTTGACAGATGTTTTTCAAACTAACAGGTTTGGGTGACAAACTGGAACTGACTATATTCTGAGATAGATTGCCCCAAAATTAAAGCAACATTGTCTAGTAATGACAAAGAGAAATACTGCCTCACAAACTTGACCTTTTTACTGTCATAATTCAAAAGGTATTAGACAAGTTTTTCATCCTTTTCAGGAATGTGAGGGTGAAGATCTGGAACTGCTTGAATTTTGAGACAAATCACACCAAAATTGTAGCAATGCCATATAATGATAGCAAAGACAAGGCCAGTCTCAGACACTTGATCTTGTCAGCATGATAAATCAAAAATTATTTGGCAGTTCCTTTCGAAGCTTTGCAGATACATTGTCATTGTTACTGGAACGTGCACTAAATAAATAGGTGTACTTTCAGAGTCAAGTCACGACTAAGACTCACATTTGGGTCATCCATCCAGTAATTCTGGAAATTGTAGAGGTTGGAGGGTGTGGGAGGAGTAGGGATTAGATGGGGGGGGGTCAAGAGGCCATCCAAGGAATAGAATCATTTCTAGTTGCCAGTTAATTTAAGTCCACATCAAAAAAAGTTGTGTAAAAATATCATTTTGATACAGAGCACATGTAATGAATATACTCGGATTCGCGGATGGACAGATCGTTGAGCCTTTATTAGCCTGGCTGAGTGAGACGGGCAACAGGGAGCAGACGTGGTCATGCAGGCAGGGTCAAAATCCGGGTGATCAGGAAGAAACGGCTGGCACAAAGTCGGGATCTGGGTTCGTGGTCGAGGTCACTGGCGAGAGGTTTGGTTACTGGGGAATCCGTCTGGACACACAGACAGGGCACAAGAGGAACTCACAGGGAGGAAGAACGAGGGGAGAAAGGGCAGGAGGGTGGTTGAGATGGGCAAGCAGGGCGGAACGGAGCTAGACAGGAGACAGGGATAATTACGCTTAGTATGGTTCTGTACATGAAGCAATACCTCATGTTGAACTGCGGTTATTGTCGTGCTTATAACTAACATGCTCCATGGGCATTGGTCAGAGGCAGCTGCTTCCCATTGCCTGTACGCAGGTGGGGCGTGACAGCACATCTTATCATAAACATTAATTTGTGCTTCAAAATTCCCACAGCCAAGAGTAACAATTGCAACATGTCATGTCATCTGTTATTTATAAAATTTTAAGTAACCACTGTTCATGGACCCATCTCACCCTGAAATTTGTACAAATTCACTATAGTGTATGTATTCAATTCAATTTATTTGTATAGTGCATTTTTCACAATATTACATCTGAAAGTGCTTAACATTATCCCTACCCAAAGCTCCCAGTCAGCAAGCCAGAGGCGACAGGGGCAAGGAAAATCTCCCTATTAAGATGAAACCTTGAGAGGAACCAGATCAAAGGGGGAGCCCAACCTCCAAGATCCACCATGGGAAGTCCACTGATGTCAGGGCTGGCAGGTGAGAAGCTGCTTCCTTTGGTGGGATGGAGGGGTGGTGCAGTCCAGTAGCCAGCAGGTGAGGAGGGCAGATGTGTAAGCCAGGCTGGGCAGTGAGGGGTTAATTCTAAAAGAATGTAGCTAACTAAAACAGGAACTGACTAGTGTGCCGGCAGGGCAGGGTGACCTCGTCCTAGACAGTTGTAAGATGGAAACAGATGGTGCAAGCTATTGTTACTTAACTCTTGTTTAACAAAGAGAGGGGTGCAAAGCGCTTATGTGACAAAAATGCTGGCTGGGGGGACATGTACTAACCGAAGCAAATGTCAAAACATGTTGCTGTCACATGGATGGAAAATACCAAGGTAGGGGGGGGACGCCCCAGATGGGCTATAAAAGGACACTATGTCACAAATAGATGAAATTATACAAGGTATTTTGTAGAGCGGTATGGAGGCTCTAGCAGGTCTAATGAAGCTACAGTTACAGCACTGGAGGGAGTGGAGAGAGAGAGAGAGACAGGTAAGAATAATCTCTGAGCACCAGCACTCCAACAGCACATGGGACACGTGAAGCCAGAGTGACAGCACTGGACACTCAGTTCATCCAAAATCAATGACACTGATCCCCAACCAGCTCTGTGCCACAGACTATAATCCTGGCTGGGGGTGTGAAATAGCTACCAGCTTTGTCACCATATGCTAGATTTAACAAATGAGTTTTTAGGCTTGTCTTAAACAGCACGGTCATGACTGAGTCTGATTCTTGGACATTTGCTGGTAGACTGTTCCATGACTTTGGAGCCCTGTAACAAGATGCTCTGCAACCTAATGGTGATGGTTCCACTCTAGGCACTGTGAGGTACCCCGCCCCTTGACAGCAAAGTAAACGAGGTTGGTTATATGGAACCAGCAAACTACAAATATACTCCGGTGCTAGACCATTCAGTGCCTTATAAGTAAGTAGCAGTCCCTCGTAGTTAACCAACAGCCAGTGGAGTGAGGCCAGTACAGGACAGATACATGCTTGTTTCCTAGTCTTTGTTTGGAGTTGGTTTAATGATGCAGCGGCACAGCCAACCGACAGGCTGTTGCAGTAATCCAGTGTAGAAGTTACAAAGGTGTGTACTAATTTTCCTGCATCCAGAAGTAAGAGCATTATTCTAAGTTTTGCAATATGCCACAGATGGAAGAAATTTAGCTATTTTAACCACATTTTTTATATGAGCATCCTGCAGAGACAAGGCGCATTTAAACTTGATAAAACTTTCTTAACATTATGTGATTGCGCAGTCACATGATAAATGAGCTGTTCAGTTTCGTTTTTCTCGAAGCGTCAAACTTTCGATTCGCTGTTCGGGCGTCTCGGCGAAGTGGAAGAACAGTGGGGACACAAATTTCACGGCAAGTATCGCGAGGTGTATTTCGTATTGTCAGTCCCGTCTACCTTGCCTGCAAAACTAAGGATCTTTTATGTTTTATATAGGCCTAGCATATATTGTATACCCTTAATGCAGCTCAATGGATTTCGGAATCTCTCGAATGGATCTGCAGACGGAGAAGCGGCTGGTCAAGTTGTTTTCCAGCCGTGTGAATTTATGTCTGCTGTACCAGGGAAGTCGCCACGGATTCAGCATTTGTACTATTCAAGAGAAAACGCAGAAACAGGGAAACCTAATTTTTCTGGCTTATTTAGAATCAGGGGCAATCATGGGAGGATATTTAGGCGGAAAATTTCCAAGTTTACATTACTCAGAATGTGTTCAAGATAAAAAGGCGTTTGTTTTTTTAGTGAGTCAGAACACCGCGATCCATTTCCCGGTGGTGGATGCCTGTCAAGCTTTCCATATCAAATCAAATGAAACAAAAATGATATCCTTCGGAGAATGCCTGAACATGGAAATGAAGAATGATAGCTGTTTCGTAAAAGTTGGAAATGACGCGGTTTATAACACCAGCTGGCCTGAGATTACCGAGTCTTGTGTGGATGTGGAGGTACATCGCGTACAGGGTAGGCACATTTCATACCACTTTTTATTTTTTATTTTTTTTGGTAATGCTTTTGGTAATTGTTTTCATGTTACAGTACTTTAAGTGAAGTTAAACAATACTAACCTCCTAAATTATGTGGCCAATTGGCTATCCCCCCAGACGCTGGAGATCTGATGCTTCTACCATGGAGGGAAATGTCATGGACAGAGATGTGAGTTTTTGTTGTTGTTGTTGTTATTGTTGTTTTTGGGGAGGGGGCAGGTGGGGTTTCAAAACATTGCTGTTTACAAAGGCAATTCGTCAGCTGATGTTTGTAGTAAAACATCTTCATGTCATTATCCATAAATGGAATTATCACAAATAAATACCCACTGATTTCTAGTTACAGGGAAAATTTGAAAAAGGATCTGGTCTCGTACAAACCTGACATTGTGGGGCTGAGCCAGGTGCGGGCTCTGCTACTGGGACCAGTGGGAGCTGGAAAATCCAGTTTCATCAACTCCATTAAGTCAGTGCTATGCAGACACGTGGTCAACTTGCCCATCACTGGCAGTGGATCTGATGGTTTCACTAGTAAGGTACGATATAAGTGTATCATCATCTTTTTTGGGTGGGCATTTGGGGTAGGGGTCAGGATATCTGTCATAATGAAAATCAGCACATGCTGTCACAGATGGATAACTGGTATTGTCATTGTATTTAGCAATAAAACTGAGTAAAGCAGGCGGATAAAAGGTTTTGCTATGGAGAATTATTTAAATGTTCTTTAGTTACTGGTTTCTACACATATTTATATATTGATTGTTCATAGGAGCTGAGTAGCCAATCAAGTACATAGATTTGAGCATGAATGCCAAGAACATGTTCCTACTAGAACTCTGGCAGTACTGTGTTTGTTTGTTCAGGGGTGGGGGGGGTGGGCTGATTTGGTCCCTGCCCATGTTGAAACCAAACCAATGCCCTTGCGGCCAGCTGATCTGGGATCCTCCAGTTTGTTTCTCTCCTTATAACTACTTTTGTTTCCATTATTCATGTGTCATCTTGCTTTCTTTATAATCAGGACTTTCAATGCTATATAACTGCTATGTTATCATTTCTGGAAGTGCAGAATAGCTTGTAATGTCATATATAAAATGGAATCTGAAATTATTTAGTTTATTCTAAATAATGAAGAAAAATACTGAAATAGTATCATGGCACATTTTGACTGACATGATTTAGCGCATGCCTGGAGCGAATCCATGATGACACAGAGAAGTATGTAAACTTCACACACATTGGGGGGGGAGGTCAATCCCACAGTGTTACCCACTGAGCAAACACACTGCAATCAACAGTTTAGAAAACTTTGTGAAAAGGCTTTAGAAGCCATAGTGGGAAGGATTAACCACTAGCAATTTTTCATTATAAGAATGTTTACCAAATGTTACAAGTAAGGTATGTAAATGCTAAAGGTGTCCAGTTTTGCTGACATTCCCAGAACGTCAGCCTGGAAGTACCACCTACAGTACAACTAAGAACAACAATGTAGAAACAAATGAAGGGAGTAGTAGAGCTGTGGGTGACACTGTCGCTTTACTCTTCTGGGATTAAGGGTTTGAGGCTGGATGGTGTGTTGGTAGCATACACATATAGTACATCTGTAAAATAATACCTTTATTATAAAACAGTATTTTGCAACATTAATTATGTTTAAAAGATGTTCAGGTAATAATGTTACCATGCTGACATTGACAGAACCTTTGTTAAAATTTAAAACATGGAAATTACAGTTACAGTAAGAACGTTCACTGCCAACTTTGAGAAGACCTTTAAGTAACGTTAATTCTGGGAACGTTCCCTGTTAGATGGATAGGTACTATAGTGGTTCCTCTTAGGGTAAACCAGACAGTCACTAACACTGCATGTTTTGAGGCTTCAGTACTCCCATCACTAGCAGTAAGTATTTAAATTCAGTCCCCCGCTAATCTCAGTCTCTGTACTCCCCTGTAGCTGAAGTCCTACCCAATCCGGGCAGAGAAAGGAGGTCAGCCAATAGCGCTGACTCNAAAAAGTTTAGTTGTTCTTGTTATTAAGTGAATCTATTGTTCCTTAGCATTGCTGTTAAGATGACATCAACCCTAACCCACAGCAAACAGAAACCGAACCGAACCGAACCGAACCGAGGCTCCAAAACCGTGAACCGAACCGAATCGTGCCTTTGGTGTATCGTTACACCCCTACCATTTAGTTGAGTATGGTGGGCTCAAAGCTTCATACAGGGTGTCAGATTTTTGGAAACTGTAATGCTTGCATATGTATGATTAACGGTGTATAACATGTTGCGACTGTTACAGGTACAATTGAAATTTAAGAACTAGGCTCACATGGATATGTTCTATATTTTGTATTCATGCGAATTCTAACGCAGGGTTTTATAAGGGTGCTGACTCATTACAGGGCACACACACACCATCCCATGACCCTGAATTGGACAAACGACCATGGATGATCGATGGATGTAGGAATGACGTGTAAATGCCTTGCATACACCTTCAGAACACTAGAGAGCCTGCCATTTTGTTAAATTTGCACCAGCCATCTGTATACTCAGGAAGTGAAACATATGGTTCTGGGACCAGTCTGCCACAGACATTTTTTTCCTTAAGATAACTCAAAAAATATTTGACAGATCTTTTTCATACTTTGCAGAGGCATTGTATGGGAGATAACCTGCAGCTTTTCAAATTTGGAGACAAACTGCCCCAAAATTGTAGCAGTACTGCTTAGTGGCAGCAAAGGGAAGGGTGACTGCAGATGAAATTTGACCTTGTGAGTGTGATCAGTTAAAAAGAGTTTGATGGATCTTATTACTATTTCGCAAAAAATATTGTGTGGATGAAGATCTACACCTGATTTCATTTTGAGACAAAATACCCCCAAACTGCACAAGACACTTGACCTTGTGAACAGGATAACTCAATTTGGGCTATTACTCTGTTTACTCTATTTCACTATTTGGCAAACCTTACTAGGTTGCATAATGTAACTACACGGCTATTCATAATTTATTATATTGATGACCTGGTGAAAAGGGATCCCCTCATTAGATTTCACCAACCTTAGGGGTCCCCATTGCTTACATTTGAGAAGGTAACTCAAAGAGTATTTGACAGATGTTTTTCAAACTAACAGGTTTGGGTGACAAACTGGAACTGACTATATTCTGAGATAGATTGCCCCAAAATTAAAGCAACATTGTCTAGTAATGACAAAGAGAAATACTGCCTCACAAACTTGACCTTTTTACTGTCATAATTCAAAAGGTATTAGACAAGTTTTTCATCCTTTTCAGGAATGTGAGGGTGAAGATCTGGAACTGCTTGAATTTTGAGACAAATCACACCAAAATTGTAGCAATGCCATATAATGATAGCAAAGACAAGGCCAGTCTCAGACACTTGATCTTGTCAGCATGATAAATCAAAAATTATTTGGCAGTTCCTTTCGAAGCTTTGCAGATACATTGTCATTGTTACTGGAACGTGCACTAAATAAATAGGTGTACTTTCAGAGTCAAGTCACGACTAAGACTCACATTTGGGTCATCCATCCAGTAATTCTGGAAATTGTAGAGGTTGGAGGGTGTGGGAGGAGTAGGGATTAGATGGGGGGGGGTCAAGAGGCCATCCAAGGAATAGAATCATTTCTAGTTGCCAGTTAATTTAAGTCCACATCAAAAAAAGTTGTGTAAAAATATCATTTTGATACAGAGCACATGTAATGAATATACTCGGATTCGCGGATGGACAGATCGTTGAGCCTTTATTAGCCTGGCTGAGTGAGACGGGCAACAGGGAGCAGACGTGGTCATGCAGGCAGGGTCAAAATCCGGGTGATCAGGAAGAAACGGCTGGCACAAAGTCGGGATCTGGGTTCGTGGTCGAGGTCACTGGCGAGAGGTTTGGTTACTGGGGAATCCGTCTGGACACACAGACAGGGCACAAGAGGAACTCACAGGGAGGAAGAACGAGGGGAGAAAGGGCAGGAGGGTGGTTGAGATGGGCAAGCAGGGCGGAACGGAGCTAGACAGGAGACAGGGATAATTACGCTTAGTATGGTTCTGTACATGAAGCAATACCTCATGTTGAACTGCGGTTATTGTCGTGCTTATAACTAACATGCTCCATGGGCATTGGTCAGAGGCAGCTGCTTCCCATTGCCTGTACGCAGGTGGGGCGTGACAGCACATCTTATCATAAACATTAATTTGTGCTTCAAAATTCCCACAGCCAAGAGTAACAATTGCAACATGTCATGTCATCTGTTATTTATAAAATTTTAAGTAACCACTGTTCATGGACCCATCTCACCCTGAAATTTGTACAAATTCACTATAGTGTATGTATTCAATTCAATTTATTTGTATAGTGCATTTTTCACAATATTACATCTGAAAGTGCTTAACATTATCCCTACCCAAAGCTCCCAGTCAGCAAGCCAGAGGCGACAGGGGCAAGGAAAATCTCCCTATTAAGATGAAACCTTGAGAGGAACCAGATCAAAGGGGGAGCCCAACCTCCAAGATCCACCATGGGAAGTCCACTGATGTCAGGGCTGGCAGGTGAGAAGCTGCTTCCTTTGGTGGGATGGAGGGGTGGTGCAGTCCAGTAGCCAGCAGGTGAGGAGGGCAGATGTGTAAGCCAGGCTGGGCAGTGAGGGGTTAATTCTAAAAGAATGTAGCTAACTAAAACAGGAACTGACTAGTGTGCCGGCAGGGCAGGGTGACCTCGTCCTAGACAGTTGTAAGATGGAAACAGATGGTGCAAGCTATTGTTACTTAACTCTTGTTTAACAAAGAGAGGGGTGCAAAGCGCTTATGTGACAAAAATGCTGGCTGGGGGGACATGTACTAACCGAAGCAAATGTCAAAACATGTTGCTGTCACATGGATGGAAAATACCAAGGTAGGGGGGGGACGCCCCAGATGGGCTATAAAAGGACACTATGTCACAAATAGATGAAATTATACAAGGTATTTTGTAGAGCGGTATGGAGGCTCTAGCAGGTCTAATGAAGCTACAGTTACAGCACTGGGGGGGGGGGAGAGAGAGAGAGAGACAGGTAAGAATAATCTCTGAGCACCAGCACTCCAACAGCACATGGGACACGTGAAGCCAGAGTGACAGCACTGGACACTCAGTTCATCCAAAATCAATGACACTGATCCCCAACCAGCTCTGTGCCACAGACTATAATCCTGGCTGGGGGTGTGAAATAGCTACCAGCTTTGTCACCATATGCTAGATTTAACAAATGAGTTTTTAGGCTTGTCTTAAACAGCACGGTCATGACTGAGTCTGATTCTTGGACATTTGCTGGTAGACTGTTCCATGACTTTGGAGCCCTGTAACAAGATGCTCTGCAACCTAATGGTGATGGTTCCACTCTAGGCACTGTGAGGTACCCCGCCCCTTGACAGCAAAGTAAACGAGGTTGGTTATATGGAACCAGCAAACTACAAATATACTCCGGTGCTAGACCATTCAGTGCCTTATAAGTAAGTAGCAGTCCCTCGTAGTTAACCAACAGCCAGTGGAGTGAGGCCAGTACAGGACAGATACATGCTTGTTTCCTAGTCTTTGTTTGGAGTTGGTTTAATGATGCAGCGGCACAGCCAACCGACAGGCTGTTGCAGTAATCCAGTGTAGAAGTTACAAAGGTGTGTACTAATTTTCCTGCATCCAGAAGTAAGAGCATTATTCTAAGTTTTGCAATATGCCACAGATGGAAGAAATTTAGCTATTTTAACCACATTTTTTATATGAGCATCCTGCAGAGACAAGGCGCATTTAAACTTGATAAAACTTTCTTAACATTATGTGATTGCGCAGTCACATGATAAATGAGCTGTTCAGTTTCGTTTTTCTCGAAGCGTCAAACTTTCGATTCGCTGTTCGGGCGTCTCGGCGAAGTGGAAGAACAGTGGGGACACAAATTTCACGGCAAGTATCGCGAGGTGTATTTCGTATTGTCAGTCCCGTCTACCTTGCCTGCAAAACTAAGGATCTTTTATGTTTTATATAGGCCTAGCATATATTGTATACCCTTAATGCAGCTCAATGGATTTCGGAATCTCTCGAATGGATCTGCAGACGGAGAAGCGGCTGGTCAAGTTGTTTTCCAGCCGTGTGAATTTATGTCTGCTGTACCAGGGAAGTCGCCACGGATTCAGCATTTGTACTATTCAAGAGAAAACGCAGAAACAGGGAAACCTAATTTTTCTGGCTTATTTAGAATCAGGGGCAATCATGGGAGGATATTTAGGCGGAAAATTTCCAAGTTTACATTACTCAGAATGTGTTCAAGATAAAAAGGCGTTTGTTTTTTTAGTGAGTCAGAACACCGCGATCCATTTCCCGGTGGTGGATGCCTGTCAAGCTTTCCATATCAAATCAAATGAAACAAAAATGATATCCTTCGGAGAATGCCTGAACATGGAAATGAAGAATGATAGCTGTTTCGTAAAAGTTGGAAATGACGCGGTTTATAACACCAGCTGGCCTGAGATTACCGAGTCTTGTGTGGATGTGGAGGTACATCGCGTACAGGGTAGGCACATTTCATACCACTTTTTATTTTTTATTTTTTTTGGTAATGCTTTTGGTAATTGTTTTCATGTTACAGTACTTTAAGTGAAGTTAAACAATACTAACCTCCTAAATTATGTGGCCAATTGGCTATCCCCCCAGACGCTGGAGATCTGATGCTTCTACCATGGAGGGAAATGTCATGGACAGAGATGTGAGTTTTTGTTGTTGTTGTTGTTATTGTTGTTTTTGGGGAGGGGGCAGGTGGGGTTTCAAAACATTGCTGTTTACAAAGGCAATTCGTCAGCTGATGTTTGTAGTAAAACATCTTCATGTCATTATCCATAAATGGAATTATCACAAATAAATACCCACTGATTTCTAGTTACAGGGAAAATTTGAAAAAGGATCTGGTCTCGTACAAACCTGACATTGTGGGGCTGAGCCAGGTGCGGGCTCTGCTACTGGGACCAGTGGGAGCTGGAAAATCCAGTTTCATCAACTCCATTAAGTCAGTGCTATGCAGACACGTGGTCAACTTGCCCATCACTGGCAGTGGATCTGATGGTTTCACTAGTAAGGTACGATATAAGTGTATCATCATCTTTTTTGGGTGGGCATTTGGGGTAGGGGTCAGGATATCTGTCATAATGAAAATCAGCACATGCTGTCACAGATGGATAACTGGTATTGTCATTGTATTTAGCAATAAAACTGAGTAAAGCAGGCGGATAAAAGGTTTTGCTATGGAGAATTATTTAAATGTTCTTTAGTTACTGGTTTCTACACATATTTATATATTGATTGTTCATAGGAGCTGAGTAGCCAATCAAGTACATAGATTTGAGCATGAATGCCAAGAACATGTTCCTACTAGAACTCTGGCAGTACTGTGTTTGTTTGTTCAGGGGTGGGGGGGGTGGGCTGATTTGGTCCCTGCCCATGTTGAAACCAAACCAATGCCCTTGCGGCCAGCTGATCTGGGATCCTCCAGTTTGTTTCTCTCCTTATAACTACTTTTGTTTCCATTATTCATGTGTCATCTTGCTTTCTTTATAATCAGGACTTTCAATGCTATATAACTGCTATGTTATCATTTCTGGAAGTGCAGAATAGCTTGTAATGTCATATATAAAATGGAATCTGAAATTATTTAGTTTATTCTAAATAATGAAGAAAAATACTGAAATAGTATCATGGCACATTTTGACTGACATGATTTAGCGCATGCCTGGAGCGAATCCATGATGACACAGAGAAGTATGTAAACTTCACACACATTGGGGGGGGAGGTCAATCCCACAGTGTTACCCACTGAGCAAACACACTGCAATCAACAGTTTAGAAAACTTTGTGAAAAGGCTTTAGAAGCCATAGTGGGAAGGATTAACCACTAGCAATTTTTCATTATAAGAATGTTTACCAAATGTTACAAGTAAGGTATGTAAATGCTAAAGGTGTCCAGTTTTGCTGACATTCCCAGAACGTCAGCCTGGAAGTACCACCTACAGTACAACTAAGAACAACAATGTAGAAACAAATGAAGGGAGTAGTAGAGCTGTGGGTGACACTGTCGCTTTACTCTTCTGGGATTAAGGGTTTGAGGCTGGATGGTGTGTTGGTAGCATACACATATAGTACATCTGTAAAATAATACCTTTATTATAAAACAGTATTTTGCAACATTAATTATGTTTAAAAGATGTTCAGGTAATAATGTTACCATGCTGACATTGACAGAACCTTTGTTAAAATTTAAAACATGGAAATTACAGTTACAGTAAGAACGTTCACTGCCAACTTTGAGAAGACCTTTAAGTAACGTTAATTCTGGGAACGTTCCCTGTTAGATGGATAGGTACTATAGTGGTTCCTCTTAGGGTAAACCAGACAGTCACTAACACTGCATGTTTTGAGGCTTCAGTACTCCCATCACTAGCAGTAAGTATTTAAATTCAGTCCCCCGCTAATCTCAGTCTCTGTACTCCCCTGTAGCTGAAGTCCTACCCAATCCGGGCAGAGAAAGGAGGTCAGCCAATAGCGCTGACTCTGTGTGACTTAAAGGGCCTGGGGGACACTGAGGAGACCGGACTGAGCCTGCATGATGCCCTGGCCGTTATCAAAGGACACGCACCAGAAGGATATAAGGTGTGTCAGCCATTTTGGTACATACAACATAGTGCTGAGTAGAATGCCAAAAAAATTTAACCAGTGTATTTTTTAACGTTCTGGTGGTGTTACAACTATGTTACAGAATTAGTTTTTTCCAAGTTCACCCTTATTGTGGCAGCAGGCATTTTATATCAATAAGATATGTTTATGAATGTTTTTAAAATGTCTGTTTTTATGAATTATTATTTAAAAATGTTTACATTTAGCTTGATAGTATAACCAACATGTTTTATTAGATGTATAATGTATATTCAGGATGTACTCATGCAGCCATTAAAAATAATAATAATAATGTAATAGAATTGTTAAGTTATTGCTCATAAGTAATATATGATCATTCATATTTGTAGTATATAAATTCTTCTACAGGGGACAGTAACTGGATGAGTGATTCAGTATTTATGCAAAAACATATGCAAGTCAACATCCATAAACAAAAGTAAAATACTGATGTGTAATTGCAGGGAAATTTTTAGAAAGAATATGTGCCTGTCTGGTTGTAGGTTCCAATCCCAAAACCAGCAGAGTAATATCACCACTGAGCTAGGCCCTTAACCCAAGATTCTACAGGTAATGCTACACATTTCTTCCCTGAGCTCACCTCAAGCTCTGACCACCAAAACTTGTCTGACCTGTATATACATGCAAGATGTGGTGTATAAAAGCTATTCAATTGCCCCCAGGAATAAATGAGGACGGGCATGTTCTCTGGTCAGATGAAATTTGAACTGTTTCACCGTAATTATCAGCGTTAAGTATGCAGAATGAAGGGTGAGGCTCTCAATCCGAAGAGCACCATCCCAACTCTGAGGCACGGGGGAGGCAGCATCATGTTGTGGAGGAGGTTTGCTGGGAAAGGGACTGGTGCACTTAGACGGCATCAAGAAGAACAGGTGCATTATCTGGAAATTCTGAGGCAACACCTCAAGACATCAGACAGAAAGCTAAAGCTGGGTCTTCCAACAGGACACTGATCTCAAACTTACTCCCAAAGACATGACAAACAAACAAACAAACAAAATGGCTTGCAGACAACAAGGTGAAAGTATTAGAGTGGGCATTGCAAAGCCGTGACCTGAATCCCATAGAAAGTTTGTTCACTAAAATGAAAAAAGAACAAGGACCCCCACAAACTTAACTCAACTGTACCAGTTCTGTCACAAAGAATTGCTATAATTCTGTGAAAATATTATGAGAAGCTTGTGGAAGGCTACCCTAAGCATTTGAAAGTTAAACAATTAAAAGGCAGTACATGAACCACCAATATATGTAAATTTTTGACCCACTGTCAGTCTGACATGGCTTTAACTCTACGTCTAACCAGGAGATTTTAAAACACACCCAATACAGCTGAAAATGGGAAAAGTGCTGAAAACAGACAGTAATGATCAGATGGCAGCCGGATTCGGGAAAAAACACATCATTCGTATCAGATATTAATTTCTTCCTGGTCATTTCTTCCCCCTCCTAATGGTGAGGCCGCATGGTGTGCACCTATCCATTTCAAAGTGCTTCTGTTTCGTTCATTTATAAAACATGCTTTTAGTATTTGTGCACGGTCAGCGGGCTGGACAAAGGAGTGACGGGGCCGGATACAGCCTGTGAGCTGCCAGTTACCCATCCCTTAGCTAGATTGCACTGAGGCCTGTAGAGGGCGACATTGTCCATATGAAGCATGTTTAGTTTACCTCCAAGAAAATTAATGTACAGTGGTACCTCAGAACTCGAACTTAATCCATTCAGAACTCCAGATCGAATCCTAAAAAGTTCGAGTTCTGATCGAATTTTCCCCATAAGAAATAATGGAAGACCAATTAATTGGTTCCCGGCCCCAAAAAAATTACACCTAAATATTTTTTTTTTTACCATTTAAACACAAAATGAATCGGATAAAACAATAAGAGCATATACTGTACTAAACACATCTAAGCACATTTATCGAAACAGTAATTTGTCCAATTTATCCAAACAATGTGTAAAGTTTAAAAAAAAAACAATGTGTCCTGCCCAGATCATCTGCTCCTTCCGTGTGCCACGCCCCCTCGTTAACCCCGTGTAGAATCCCATGTGATCAGCTGTTTCTGGTTGTTGTCATTAGTCCTCTGCATTTCGTCCGCGTTTCAGTTTGTTTCCCCAGTCCGGTCACTGTATTGTCCGTCTGCGTTTTGCCTGCCTTACCTGTAATTAAACCCCGTATTCCCCGATACCCTGACGTCTGCGCCTTTGTCTCCGTTCCGTCCCCGCTCGGCACAACAATATTATTATAATTAAATGTATTAATGGTTTTTTATTAATATTAAAATAATGAATAAGAAATCTTTATTTTTAAATGTATTTTATTGTATAATAATAATTACTGTTACTGTCTATCATTGTCTAAATGTATTTTTACTGTCTAAATATATGTATTCAGCTAGTGTAAACATGCACAATGCTATCACAGCGAATGCGAGGCTGAGACTGAAGCTTTACCCTTTGTTTCCACTGAGAGACGTGCCGCGTGACTCATTTCCCTGTGCGTACAAGTTATCTTAGTTTGGCGTTCACGGTTTGACTTCTGAGATTCAGATCGAGTTCTAGGTATTTTTTTTTTCGAACTGGTTGGTCCAACTTTTAAGATATTCGAGTTCTAATGAGTTCGAGAACTGAGGTACCACTGTATTTAGTAATGGTCACAGTCCAAAACATAGGGTTAGGTAAATGTGTCTTTTATGCATGCGACCTAAACAATTCCCATAGATGCTTCTACTGGCTTCAAATAACAACCTAAAACATAAAATGTGTAAAATGTGACCAGGAAACACCCCCCTTTGAAACCATCCCAACTGTTAGTTTCAGAGCAAAGCACCCCTTCAGCCCAACTCCCCAGGCTACCGTGTGGACCCGGCCCTGCAAGACAAGATCCACTGTGTCCTGTTTGTTCTGGATGCATGCAGACTCCACTCTTACAGCAAGGAATTGAAAGACACACTGAAGAAACTTCACTGGGAGTCCTCGGATTTGGGTCAGCTCAGCATTCGTTTATTCTTACTTACATACAAACAAACAAACATATGTGTGTGCATAGGATGATCACCACATCGTCTGGCAATGTCATCACGCGGTTTGGCATGAGGCAGGGTAAGCTCTGTTGTAAGAACATAAGAAATTTACAAACGAGAGGGGGCCATTCGGCCCATCAAGCTCGTTTGGGGAGAACTTAACTAATAGCTCAGAGTTGTTAAAATCTTATCTAGCTCTGATTTAAAGGAACCCAGGGTTTTAGCTTCCGCTACACTAGCTGGAAGACTATTCCATACTCTAACTACACGCTGTGTAAAGAAGTGCTTCCTCAAATTTGATAAGAACCTTGACTGGGACACCTCTGTTTTCTAGAGGTTCTTAAGGTTGGGGTTGGAATACTGTGGTGTCCTTTAAGTACGAGAAGCATTGTAAGGTGACTAGTTTGCTGCAGCTGATGGAATTATACAGTGTTTTGCAGATTATGATGCTGCACTATAACCCAAAGAACATTTAAAGCCAGCCATCTTTATAACAGGTGTTTATGTGTAGGCAGGGAAAGAGAGGAATACAGTGGGATCGTGGGATCATGGGCTGATGCCCCCCCCCTCGCGTGGCTGTGGTAACAGGCTCCCCTTGCTCCCTCTCCAGGCATTCCACAGCTGGTCCTGCTCACACACGTGGAGCTGGCCGGCCCCTCAGATATGCACAACATCTACGCCAGCCACAATCTGCGGGAGAAGGTACTGTGACACGTAGGCGAGCAGCAAAATCCCTAGGAAAGCAGCTAAAAGTGATAAACTGCAGCTCAGCACTCGGGGTGCGGGGGGAACAAATGTCTGTCAAACAGTAACCGCTGTACTGTATTTTTCACTACGCATGATCCCAGTTAGCCAGCATTACACAAGTACACTGAAGCAGCATGAGGTTAGCAAGCTTGTACTGGAAACATACTGGCATTTAAGACCTTATGCTCACTGTAGCGCTTCATGTCTTTGCCCTCGTTCAGATGGAAGAGGCAGCGGAGATGGTCGGGGTCCCGCTGTTTTCTGTGCTGCCGGTTAAGAACTACGCCAGCGAGCTCAACGTGGACTACGACACCGACATCCTCCTGCTGAGTGCAGCATGCCAGATTCTGCATTCTGTCGACTATGCCTTTGAGGACTAATACGCCCCCTCCCCCTACTGTCTCTCTAAGAATTCTGACCTTTCTGACTGCATTTAACCCAAAGGAAAATGAGCACAGGGGTGTTGGCAATACATACAGTACCAGTACAAAGGTGCCTCTGGGTATTCTGTCATTTAAGCGATCTAAATTGTCCTTATTCGGTTTACACGTCTGCCAAACATGAAGCAATATACACACCTGGCTTATTTACCCATTTCCAAAGTTAACTCTGCCATTTTCTAGTAGACGTAAGCAAATGTACAGTCACGTGGTTCATTTTAGTTGACACACACTACCAGTCAAAAGTTTTTGTACAGGTTTTCTACATTTGCATGTTACTCAACATTTACTAAAAATACACTATATATTTGCTAACAAATAAATTTACAGCATGTTCACCATTTGAGTACCTTTATTAGCAAGAAAATGTTCTTTGACTCAAAGTAACCTCCTCTAGCAGTTATAACAGTAGGGAAAATTTGAGGCATTCTTTCTACAAGGGACATTAAATACTGCTCTGTTCCACCATATGAAAGAGTTACCTAGTGCATTTTAAGTAAAAGGACAGCCTAGAATTTGACTAGGTCATCACCACACAACCAGTTAATAGGATGTCAGACATGCACTGTTACATACTCTTTCCACGTTACAAAGCAAACTCATTTCATTTGACACTTATTTATTGGGGTTCACTCAACATTCCAATCTGTCACTAATGAAATAAATTGAAAAGTGCTAAAAACCTGTGGGTGCAAAAACTTTTGACTGTAGCGTATGCCCCATTACTGACATCCCCCCCACCCCCTAAAATAACAGCTACCCCAGGAGAGTAATAGAAGCTGTGCATTAGATATAGAACACATGGGTTCAATGGTTTGCATTACTGACCACCCAAGAAAGCAACTGAAGTCATTCAAATTACTCAAAAATATAATCCCAACTTTATTCCGTCATCTGGGAGAATGAAAGCTAGACCATCAGTAAAAACAAACCATTATAACAACCATACTGAAATCGAATCCCTTGCATGATTACAGCTTTCAGATACTATCATAAAAACTCTACTTGAGACAGTCTTGGCATTGCTCCAGCTTCATGAATTTAGTGTTTATAAAATTGACAAAACATTAAAATCGGCTTAAAAAAAAAGAATCTAAAAGTGAACATAGAAGCACACGGATGGAAGCTCGGGGCAGCTGGCATGCAGGGATTGGTCAGTAATGGCCGCATGCCTTTTCCAACACAATGCCGGCGGACTTCAGCAGGCCTTGTCCTGGGTGTAGGTCACCTGCTACTCGCGGGGGATTCCCGCCACCACCTCAGACTCTATGCCACAGTGGTCCTTTCCTCTGAGGATCTTGAAGAACCCTAGAATGGAAAGCGACAATTAGTTCTGAAGATTTTAAGTGCTGGAAACATTCGACTGCTGCCGAACAACGCAGGTCTTACCATTGTCACCCCAGTCAGTGTTCCAGGAGTTAGCAGCCAGCCAGTAGGGGGTGCCATTCTCTTCACCCCAGCCAAGGATCTTGATGGCATGGCCGCCAAGAGCAGACCCTGTGACATGCTGATACACACCTGGAGACAAGAGTCAAACAAACTCATTAATGGCAAAAAAATTCTGGTAAGAACAAAAAAGAAAAACATCCAGATCCACTAAAATATTCTTGGGTATGAACATGGTGATCATTCCTACCGGTCTTGTACAACAGGAAGTCCTCAAAGACTGTAAAAGCAGCCTCGGCGGGCCCATTCTTATATAGCTCAGACATGATCTGCTCCTGCTCTGAGGGTACACTGTATGAATGTTTTCCTGTGGAAATCCAGGAAACAATGGCAAAGAAGTTTAGATTTCTGACAAATCAGACCAAGCATTGATAAGCCCTGTCCACACAGGCTGAAGCACGCTACAGTTTCAGGCAAAAAAAAGGCAACTCCATTTACAAATGGAGATGAGGCCTATTTACAGATAAGTTCATTTATAGATAAACTATTCACTGCAAAGCAAGTCATCATGGTAAATGGGAAATGATCAGACCAACTACATACCCTGTAAAATCAGGTGAATTACAGAAGTGTTAATATACCAGCACACTAGCCCCTTACCGTAGTGTTTGTCTTGCTTGTAGGAAGGACTGTACCCAGGTTCACACTGGGCTACACATTCTGGGGTATCCCCACCTTCTCCCGTGCAGGGAGGGCGACTGCCATTCACATGGTGCTCACAAGGAGGGATAGTGTATGGGCGGCAACCTGCAGAACACACACACCATGGGGTCAGGTGACCGATTCAGGCCTCCGTAGTGTCTGCATCACCATCTCCGATGGTTAGAACCCTCACCGATATGAGAGTCATACAGGCCGCCAGACACGAGTCCTTCATCCGTCCAGTACTGCCAGGCAGCAGAAGGGTAGCCACCATTGCACCTAGACAGGATGAGCGTTAAGTCAAAGGTCACAACTCAATGTTAGATATTAAACCCCAAAAAGTGCCATTCTTTTGAAAACAAAACGGGTAAATCTGTCCCGAAGACAATTAACACAGATTTATCAAATCTCTCACCCCATGCCACAATCTTCGCAGCAGGTCAAAAGGTCTTCAGAGGAGATCTCCACGCTGATTTTGGCGTTGCTGTGGATGCACAGTCGGTCAGAGATGGCTTCAGTCGCACCAAAGGCCTGCAAGCAGAGCAGTTTCGATTCACATGAGATACTAGTGCTAGGCTCCTGGAGGATCGTCATTTCTACAGGACAAAGCTTAGAGATCAAACACTGCCTCAACTCCAACATCTTAACTCAGCACATGGTATCAGGGACTGTCTTTGTTATGATAAGACTTCTTAAAGGGATTTTTCGCCAGGGACATTACCCAGCATGAGCCACAGGAACCCTGGTCTCTTATCTCCTTCAATGTGGGGCAGTTGGGCCACTGTTCTCTTGGGTCAAAGTTCTTGGGTAGATTTACCTCTCCGGCATACTGTACCCTACAGAGAACCAGAATCCTCAGTTGTAGTCAACCATGGTCAGATACAGGAACTCAAAACACGTGTAAATGACAGCAACCCTGTCCAATTAAATGAAGCAAAGAACTCACATGACTGGGAGCTTCGGGCCCTTCAGGAGAGTCCCACACAGCCGCTTCACATAGCTGTAGTCAACATTGTGGAAATTGTGTCCAGCCTTTTGGGGCGAGAATGACAGTCAGGGTAAGAAAAGAAAAATAAATAATAAAATTAAGATCTAAATGATGTGGCCTTCTGGTTAGTGATGAATATAAAAAGCCCATGACCTACGTTTCAAACTAATGCCTTGTCCACACGTACACAGATATTTTTTTTTTTTAAACGGTGTTTTTACTCCTCTGTTTAAAAAAAAATCCCCGTCCACATGAAACTGCTAATAAAGTACTATCTAATCTAATCTAAAATGCGCTGTCAAAAGCATGCCAAAGCAACAGGCGGCATTATAGCTCTAACCGTACTGCCATGTTAGCCAATCAGAAGCCTAATTGCCAGTCATGTTAAGTTGAAAACCATGGCGCACATTCCGACGCCTGTGTTGATCAATATAATGCGGGAGTGACTCAACATTTATCTGTTCACATGTAAGAAGTCCTGTCAGCAAGGTTAGCACAAGCACTATTTCGGCTACGTCCGCCATTGCTCAAACTCACCTAATGTATACAGCCAACAGTGCACGCTCTGACGTTAAACAAAGTGGACAACGGCGCACAATCTAACGTTTCGAGCCAAAAACGGTTTTCCCTGTCTACATGTCGACTCTGAAAACGGAGTTTCTTAAAATCTTCACCCTAGATGGAGTTTTGCAAAAGCTCCATTTTCAGTGACCTGAGACGCCGTTTACATGTGGACAGAAGCCCAAGACGTATAGAAAAAGGTACGTTTTAAAATATACCCGTGTACGTGTGGAAAAGGCATAAGTTTCTCCAAATATTTCCACACATTTATTAACCTATAGAAGAGTCAAAGGTAAAGTAAACCGGCATGAGTCAAATTCTAACTATATAATGTCACAAGAGATGATAAAAATGTATTCACATGAGAAATCAAATGTAACATTTGCTGTTCCACAGTGGGTCTCACGTTACAAGCATATTCTGCACTATTCTGTTGGGACCAGCCGTCCCGCCTGACTTGCGTTCTGCAGCCTCGACTCGCTGAGAAGTTTTGAATAGCAGGGCACTGATGCACATCTACTAAAAGCACTTCGCTTAGAGTGGATAGTAGTGATAACATGCATTTAATGCGATCACAAGTAGTAACGAATGACGCACACGTCCAGCAGCAGTTTGACACAGACTGCATTTTCCACATCACATGCAATAACGTTAACCGAGGCGTTTACCTTCCATGTGGTGTTGGCCTTGTTTATGTAGTTCACCATTTCATGGGATAAGGGATGAAGACGGGGCCTCGCCCAACTGACTGACAGAGCCGAGAGAAGACACAGGAGTGCAACGGGCCACATTCTGAACGAAAAAGAGAGATTGAAAACAGTCATTAAAACTTAAAAGAAATTCTTGGGATCGCACAATAGTTACTGGGCCAACATAACCATAAATAAATAGAAATAAATAAATTTAAAAAAACTGAAATAAAACAACTCGGCATCCATCAACGTGTTTACACACATACAAAAGATGACTAAAAATCTAAAATCTATCCAAAACCAGTTCCAGGCGTGTCCCGGATGCAGATGTACCGGGCATTTTCCCGTACACATTACGCAATATTGAATCCACCCTGGAGGCAGAAGCACAACAATGCAAGGCAATTCTCATGAAGTCATTATACTCATCCGGGATGTTAACCAGAATCAAAATGTTACTCTGCTAGACGAGGAATCCTACGCCAAACAGCGGACCACAAAAAACTGCCTTAATCGCCACTAACCCAGGACTATACGTTTTTATCTGTGCTTTTGTGTGTGTGTGTGTGTGTGTGTGTGTGTGTGTGTCTATGGACCTGAGTCTGTCAATAAAAGTAATTGTTGTTGAATATTTCGTTACAAAGAATATGTCACTTACACATGAAAAAACCAAACAATCGTGAATACTTTAAATATGAGCCGTCGCCTAGTAACACATTAAGAATACCAGAGAATAAGCCAAAGTACAAAAGTCAGCTGGCTAATCGCCCAGGAAAATTTAACCTAGTAGATAAATGGAGAGCGATAACGTCAGGGAATCAAGGAACGAGAATGGAGTCCTGTTACTGCCACCAGCATTACACCCTTGAAAAACTCAAACGTATTTATTGCTGAAATACATACAGGACACTAACAACGCAAATGACCAAAACACACAGACAAAGGCAAACGTGCATATCACGAACATATCCGGCTAATAGCTAAAACATGCGCATATACAGTGTTACCATAGCCTTAATTAGCCGACAAGAAACAGTTTTCTGGCAACATGGATGAAACACGGTACCTGTCTCGCTAGTTGGCAATGAAAGAGACAAAGGCAGCTCCGCAGTTTTCTCGCCCGTCACCGCAGGGGAAGTCTGATATATATATATCACACAATCAGGGAAGTTCACTACATCAAATAAGCACAGCGCGGATCACGTGACTGGTCACATGACCCCCCCCCCCTCCCGCCGGTCCTGTGACTCTCATGTGATCGCACCCAATTAATCTACTTTCAGTCCCTTCGCTTGTTTTACCTACCGGTTGAGGGTTATTTATGCACTTCACGCAAATGTGACTGTCTAAATACACAATACTTACAGTTAGACCAAGTACATTTATCCAACGAGAAATATAGATTTGTTTAAATCAGGGTTAGGCAGTCCCTTGTTCGCTTTACCGACCCTGCGATTTGCCCGGCAACATTTCGATTACAGGCATAGAGTCCTAAAACCCTGAGTCACGTCCGTAATGAAATTGCTGAGTATCTAAACTGTTTGTGAACTTCACCATCGGACATAACTTGCGTTAATACATATTAAATCTTTTTTTCTTGCCATTTATTTAGCAACTGCTGGTTGCAATTAATTTGAATTATGCTTAGTATTTACCGATTTTTTTGGGGTTTAAGAACAGATATATAAAGACGAATTCCATGCAGAATTTTTTAAAACATGAACTGTCATACCCGCATCGGCCTAAGTCTTGTGACATCCTTCCCTGCAGAGTAACATGCAGCGTGATCACTCAGCTTAGGTCAGCGCTCCGACAAACCTCTTTCCGTCACATGGGGACATTTGCTTGCTTTACCAAAAGTAGTCATTAAAATACTGCATAGAAATCAGTTTCTGTCATCACCTTTGATAAATCGATATAAGTCCGGTTAATCGTTATGGCTAATTTGATCTAACTCACTCTGTTAAACCTGATCGAGTAGCTCAAAGCTAGCAATATTCATCAGACATTCACTGAGAATTGGATTTGTCTATTCAGTTGACTACAAAAATAAGGATAACATTCAAACACGTTCACGTAACATTTTACGACTGTGAAGTTACGTGCAAATATTGAATATTCCTTGTTTAAATATAGCCTACATTGTCGAAGTGTGACCTAGTGTGCTCCACTATATTTACGCGCTCTGTTGGATTTTGACCGTCCGCTGCACTTAAATAAAAGTACGAAATAAGGATGTCTAAACAAGGTAACGACAAAAACGACACTTAGAACCAAAATCCAAGTTGGGAGATAGTTACACCAACAAACCATTGTGTTCTCGCTGTCACAAGCGCTATACAAATTAAACTAAATAATTATTAATATTTTACTATTATTATTACACGTGAAACATGCACGTTAAATGAACGGGCCAATTCCCTCTTTCCTATGGAGATTTGTGTGTGTGTGTGGGGTGGGGGGGAATCATTTGCTGACAATGGCTTTAGAGCCACAACACTTAACCACTCATTTTCCACTTGTGATTAAAGTGACTAAAGGACATCTGTAAACCAACGCTTATAATGGGTAAAACGCAGCAGTGTGACAAATACACTCTCACCTCACGACGCCTCCCCCCCAAAAGTAATTAAAAATAAATATGAGATAAAAAAAAAAAAACTTCGATTGAAACTCGCGCTCATTCTTCTGCACTGGAAAATGTACGTTTTTCGTTGAACCCCTAACTTGCAGTTCCCTAAAGGACTCACAGGTGTACCCACTGATCACTTCTCACCGTTCCTTCGCGGATCAATGTGTTTTCTCGTTATCATAAAATACCAAGACAGAAAAACAGCTTCAACGATTTCTATGAGTTTAATGGCTGTCAGACAAGAACCTTCGTCGGGATAGTGTGACAAAAAACGTCTGCTGCAGTATTAATTTTCGACTTCATATACAAAGTGCATTCCAGCCATCCATGAGAAAAACAACCTTATCAAATCCGCTGCAGTTTAAAATAAAATATTTTTCAATTTATGTATCCTAGTCCAGTATAAACCCTTATTTAATCTATAGAGCAATATCACAGGATTTTCAAAGAAAAAAAAAACTCAAATAAAAGGGAAATGACATTAACAACTACAGAGGATCAAAGTCTTTAAGTGCTTAGCCCATGTGTGAGGGACACAGGATATGATGCAGTAACAGCCCTAATGGAGGAGCAGGCCATCACTGTAAATATTTCATCTTCATGTAAAAACATCATCTTTCATCATGTTGGAAAATAAATTCCTTGTCTTTTTCCATCAAATCTGTTTTGCCTGATTTGCGTTTACAATGCGGGACCCTCTAGAAGAGTCTGTTTACACTGAACGGTTTGGTTGATTGGTTAAAAAGAGGTCACCTTTGTCCAAAACAGGGGAAAACACACAACTGCTGAGTGGTGAAGCATTCAAAACCACACAAGGACACTTGGAGAATCCTCACTGAGGACAGTGTTACATTGATACTGATATCTAAGATACACAGTGTCTATCATACATCCCATAAAGCTTTCCTTTAGCATAAATCTTAAATTACATACATTTCTGAAGATAATTCTAAATCAACCTCATACTTAGGAACTTTCCACTTCTGCAAGACTAGATGACAACCTTCATTACATTTCCTGCAAGTATTTCGCACAAGAATTTGCCATAGATTTACCTAAGGAATCCCATTCTCTTAAGTCGAAACCAATCACCAGAGAATCCATTTTGGAATGGGAGGTGATATGGGACAGAGAAAAAGCTCCCAAAATTCAATATTCTGGTTGCCCTTGGTAAAAGACTGGCATGCACTGAGCAAGGCAGCAGAGGGAAATGAGAGGATGTCATACTCTGCTATAAATCCCAAACTGGCAACCAGAACCTCATCATATTTCACACGCGACAATTAATGAAACAAGCGTGAATTATGGCAGGTTTGCAAGAGGCCATTCCAAGGAGCAGCGGCCCTGCTGGGGGTCTGTCCACGGTTCTCAAGGTTGCCCTCTCAGTGTCCCTGCATGTCTGTCGCAGTGGGGTTCTGCCCCGCCACGGCACTCAGATACTGCCAGCTAATGGCCGCTAACAGCATGGCAGCCGAGAGGTAAAAGGGGGAGAGGAGGTGGCCCCGAGACTGCAGTGTCTCCTGGGTAACCGTCTTCCCCCGTATCAGCTCCAAGATCACCAGTGTCTTGTCTCGGGATGGGTCTGTGTGGGACACCTTCTGCAGTATCTGTTGAAATATGACAGAACAATCAGCACCAATGAAACCTAAATATATGCAAGGATCATTTATATTTATATTGAGTACTGGTGCACTGCAATGCTTCTCCTTGCCTATCCCATCTTGCTCTCCATGAGACACAGTGGAAAGTCAACTGGTGGGTCACCTCCCCTGGAGCTAAGGATTGGGAACCTATTCTACTGAGGCTGGGGCTTGAACCAATAACCTCCCGGTCACAGACACAGAGGCTTAGCCTGCTGAGCAACCCCTCCCCAACCCCCACATCGCTACTACGATGGGTTTATTAAAAGCAGCATTTAAATTCATCCATTCCCTATACGCCAAAAGCTCACGCATACCTCCTGACTGTACTGAGAGACGATGGCCTTCACTGCATCCATGTTTGAGGCCTGCATCATCAGTGTTACAGCCTGGCCCTTACGAATCTTAACCACTCCCTGGAACACCTGAGGGTTGTTGTAGCATGCAGAAAGTGTCGCTATCGCCATGACCTGGGGAGGAGGGTGCGTGTAACTTTTGTGGGATTTTACAATAGAACAAATTATTGGCACATATAGAATAGATAATTTGTTATAACAATGCATAGAAGACATATTGTGTTATGCAAATTAAGAAACCAACAACAGACAAATTAATTCAGTAAGTAAAAAAAAATAATGCTTTTTATATTATTCAAATTAAGACATTTTAAAAACACTAAGCACTAAAAAAAGAAAAATACCTGCTTTCACACAGGAAGGACAGTAGAATGATTCATATTTCTTGTACATGAAATATGGAAGTGATAATTGAGCCATCTGCTTGACACTTAAAGGTCATGTGACAAGACAAGTCTGTGCTCCGAGATCTTTATGAAATAATCTTTATTTCACTCTGTTACAATGACTGAAGGAAAATGCAATATCAGAAGGATCACTTGTAATTTTCCATTACATTAAATTCAGCAGTTACAAAGAACAACTGATACAAATTCAGGCTATTTGGTTTTGTTGGAAGTTTCAAAATAGCATATTCACAAAAGTACAACCAAACTTAAAACAAATTAGCATGACTAAACTTACAGTAAAAGTAAATTTCTTAGAATAAAAAATAAATAAATAAAAACAACCAGAGTGACAATGGGGGGGGGGGTGCTCTTGTGCCTCTTACCTGAGGGATGGCACAGAAGTTGAAGACGCTCTGGTTGCGGAGGCGAGTCAGGTAGCTGATGACGTCAGGGACGTGCCGAAGTGCGTCAGTCACCAGCAGATTGAGGCAGGAAAGGGCCGCGTTTAGGTTCTGAGGCTGGGCCAGGTCCTCTAGCTTGGCGGCAAACTGACTCCAAGCCTACAGCGCAGCATCAGACCGAAATAAAGAAAAAAAAAACTGCAGATCTGCTGACATACTGAGATATTATAAAACAGGGGTTTCCATCTGCGGTCCTGGAGAGATCCAGCCCCCTGACATTTTTGGGTTTCCCCTCATTTCACACACCTGATTCAACCTCTCTGCTAATGACCACCCATTTCTTCAGTTGAATCAGATGTGGTGGAACAGCGAGAGAACCAAGCCACGCAGGGCTGGGGCTCTCCAGGACTGGAGTCCAAAACCCGCGTTACAAAAACTTGTGCATGGTGTGTGTGAAACAGAAATTCCACACATCAAATACCTAAGTCTTGATTCTTGGTGAACAAATGCTTGAAGTAGCAACAGTTTATTTTGCAGTAATCTACCAAAGTCATAAATAAATTTTTATTATTAAAGCTTGGGATGGGCATTAAGACATACGTCTTTAGGCCAGAAGGATCGGCCCTCCTGCTGGTCCTCCAGGTAGTCTCGTATGATGTTGGTCTTCTGCAGAAACAGACCCATGGAGTTGGCCAGCTCAGTGTCCCTCCCAATTTCGGGGTCTTCCAGCCGGGAGGCAGAGAAGAGGCGGGAAAGTCCAATGCCAACCAGGCCAGCCACATAGTGACAGTACTGTGGAGACAGG